GCATTGTATACTTCAACGTTTTAGTTGCTTCTCATGCAGCTCATGCGTTGCATAGTTCATGCAATCATGCAGTTCATGCATTGCATACTTCAACATTTTAGTTGCTTCTCTTCCCCTTTATGACCTTCAATATTATGGCAATCCCTTTGGACATCCTTTAATTTCAGCAAGAAGGATTTTTTTCCGAAACAACATATGATAGGACCTCGTCAATGATTTAGCAAGTCAGTCGGTCGTTTGATGTGTTGCTAGAATGTTATTCACTTGCAATTCTTTATTGGCTACCTTATCGCGAACGAAGTACATGTCGAGCTCAAAATGCTTGGAGCAAGCATGAAAGACGGGGCTGATTCCCATGGCCACTGCACTGATGTTGTCTCTCTAAACCAATTGTACCGTGTCAATAGTATCCCCTAGATCATTGAGCAGATATTTAATCCATACAACTTCAGACATAGTATCTGCAACACTTCTATATTCGGCTTCAATTGTCGAGCGAGCCATCGATCGTTATTTCTTTGAACTCCACGAAACTAAATCGCATCCCAAGAACACACAACCACCCAAAATAGATAGACTATCATCTGAATTGCTAGCCTAATCTGCATCAGCAAAGGCTACAATATGGTGAGAAGCAACATGTCCTGCTCGAAACACAAGCCTAAAATTAATAGTCCCGTTGAGATAGCGAAGGATCCGCTTAACTGTTGACCAATGTCCTTCACAAGGTCGTTGCATATATCGAGCCACGCGATTGACGCTAAAGACAACGTCAGGACGCGTATAGCTGAGATACAACAAGGCCCTCACCACACTCCTATATAGCTGGGCATAATCAAGAACTCTACTAGAGTCACGGGTAAGCTTTGGTGAGACAACAATTGTAGATGAGATCGGGTTGGCATTACTCATATAAGCCTTCTTCAAAAGCTCTCGGATGAACCTTTGTTACCGTAAGACAAGCATCTCAGGACTACGTTGAAGTTCAATAATGAGAAAGTAGCTGAGTTCACCCAAATCTTTTAACGAGAATTTACAGCCCATGAGTTGAACAACCTCTTCTATGGCTGAGATGGAGTCACCAATGATAACAATGTCGTCTACGTACACAGGAGCTATCGTATGAGTGCCAGCAGCCTGTCGAAAAAATAAGGATACATTTGTAGACATTCCCTAAAATCTCAACTAAATAAGGAATTACCTTAACTTTAAATACCATATACGCAGGGCTTGCCGTAGGCCATACAATGCCTTATTTAGTTTACAGACCAACGTCGAGCCATCACTGACAACCTTCTTAAAGCCATGAGGTTGTTACATAAACACATCTTCGCTCAAGTCACCATTAAGGAATGTCCACCTAACATAATTGTCAGTCGTTAGATATAGACAACGATAAAATAATATTAACCGTAGTGCCTTGACCATGAGGCTAAAGGTATCAATGAAGTCATGTCACAGAATTTGTGAGAAAAACCTTCGCAATTGATCACACTGATAACTCCGTAAAAAAATCATATTTTGTGCCTTTTTTTTACTTGAGTTATTAGTTGTCTAAAAACCCATTTCATTGCATTTAGTTACATTTAGGGTCATATAATTGCATTTGGTGGTAATGTTTTGCTGCAACATTTTATTGTCAAAAAACGATGTTGCTGAAAGGGAAGGATCTTGTTTTGTTGGTGTTGTGCAAGTGAAGAGGGCTAATGAAGAAACAATGATTTGTTGTAGCATTATGGATAAGGAGATCTGAAGGACTGCTGAAGCTGATGAAGATGAAAAATGCTGCAACAATTCTGTATAACATTTATGGGCGAAAAATGATATAACATTCTAGACGACATTTATGAGCAGAAAATGACAAAAAGGATAAAGATATTTTTGTTAGAGTTTCCAGTTGTCCATGTCAACACGTGAATGCCATGCCCAATTTCCTTTTTTGGGCCACATGATAATCTAGCCTCCCATTCGCATGAAGGGAATGATACCTAGGATACAAAGGGAATTTTGGCACAAAACCCCAGGGATTCCCTTTGTATAAATAGTAAGGATACCTCATTTTTAGGGACCTTTTGGGAGTGATTTAAGCAAGGAGCAAGCAACTCACCAACCTTCCATTTTCTTCTTTCTTTTCTTCTTTTTCGTGGTGACCTCCATAACCAAGCATCGAAGGAGTAGCGGTTAGGACCTTGAGAGAGGCTAGCTTGTTGAGCGGTGCATGGCGGTGGAACTAAGTGTCACGGCAACAACTCATTGGGAGTGTTCTTCTCCTTGTGTTTTCATTTTTTGTCTTGTTTTAGGCTTGTACTTAACTTGAATGATCTTGGATGAACTTAGCCACGCCATGAACTGAATTATTTGGCGTTGGATTTGTTTTGGTTGTTTTTATTTCGTGTCAATGAATGGTTAGATGTCTTTTATGTTTAAATGTTATGTTGCTTATTGTTTTTTTTATATGTTTAGCATTATAAAAACTTTTGAGAGATTGTTGTTTACTATAGCATAGATGCCTAGTATCGAGAGAGCTAGGCTAGATCTACATGAGCAAGGGAGCCAAACCGGGATGGTGAGGTTCTAATCCGCCTTAGAGATAAGGAGAGGGTTTCAAGCGACTTAAAGGGATATGACTTAGTCGATAGTCTAATGTTACAGTTTACACTAAGTGGTATTGTCGTAACATTAGTTTTATCAGGTTCCTTGCTAGATATAGTTTAGGAGCACCTTTAGCAAATCTTGCCGGGCATCATATTCATAGGAGCAAAAACCATTCTAGACGCATAATATTTATTTCCATAGCAAATTTAGCTAATTAACCCTATAGAAGCTTGATTGTGTGAGGTTGTCAGCCTTATTTCATTCCCCAAAGTTCAATTTGCTTTTGTTGCAATATTCTTTTAATGTTTGCCTCAATATTTCACTTAAACTTTTGCCAGAACATTTTCATACTCATACCCGTAGCACATATCATTTTGCCACAACTTTTTCTCATTTGTTCATACCACACTAACTATAATTAGATAATTTAGAATAGTGCATAAATTTTACTCGAAATCCCTCCAATCCTTGTGGAGAATACTCACTCATTACTGTATTACTTGTTCGATTATTTATACTTGGACATCTTTGAGTGCCATAGCATAGTACATCACACACGCCATCACGCGCCTTATATCTGGCAATCGATTCATCAACATTATGCTTTATTTTGAAGAGCTATTAACACCCAACAGTCGTTCATCCAACAAGCAATGACCTAAGTAAACAGGTATTACTTTTAATTAGAGTATTATATTCGAAAATAACATTCATCTTCCACTTAGGATGAGATAATGCTTGAGTAATTGACACAAGTTCATTGTTAACGGCTTCAGCTACAGCACAGGTTTAAAGATTTCATGCTTGCTACGAGTGACCATGGGATGTTGATTTAATGGAGCAGATTCAACTTCACTAGAACCATTTTTTAAGCCACCAACACTGAAACCATCTAACGGTTGAAAAACACAGGGCTGATCAGTGCCAACTATCCTTGAATTACTGGAATTTAGAACATGACTAGTGACTCTAGCACACCTATCCTTAGTATATTAAGGAGAATCAGAAGACGCTTGCAAGGGAGAGATAGAGGTATGTTGAATTGTACTACACCCATGCTGAGCACCACACACAAGATCAACACCAAGAACTAGAAAAATATAACTCAGGGCTTGCTGAGGAGAGACAGAAACCATATTATCGATGGAACCATACTCTCAAAAGGAAACCTATTCTTATCGAAGACTACATGACGAGAAATATATACCGTCCCATCAGATGTTAAGCAATAATACCTATCATGTTGAGGGTTGTATCCGATAAATATGCATGTTGTGACCGAAATACCAATTTATGTGAGTAAAACAATCATAGGTGAAGAAAACAACACCACCCAAAAATCCTGAGATGTCTATACTGTGTTTGACACTAAAACAATCATTCAAATGAAGTTAAGCCATTATGTACCTTAGTAGGTAAATGGTTAATCAAGTAAACCGCTGTCACCGCAGCATAGGACCAATACTTGAGTGGTAGAAATGCACGAGCAAGCAGGGTAAACGTCATTTCGATGACATGACAATGCTTCCTCTCAACGACACCATTTTATTATGAGGTGTAAGGACAAATCACTTGATGTTGAATATCACACTGAAGAAGAACAATTGATAGTGTACAAAATTCACCGCCTTAATCACATTGCACGACCATAATCTTAGTGGCTAACTGCGTACGCACCATTTGTTGAAACAATCAAAAAACATTCACTACTTTGGTTTTTAGCAAATTGAGCCATGTGTGTCTTGTATGTGCATCGACAAACGAGACATAATATCAAACCCCGTTGGAGGTAATATAAGCCAAACCCATAAGTCAGTGCATATGAGATCAAATGGTTTTTTATATTCAATTTGAGATGTTGTGAAAGAGAGTCATTGACTCTTTCCCAATCGACAAGAATAGGGAGTTAAGTTTATTCAAACATTTTGGAAAAATAATATTGTATCGATTAAACACTTGCATCAGTGTTTCAAAAGATGGATGACGTGGGTAACGGTACTTCAAAAAACAACTGAAAAATCCAGGCCAAAATAGCACCTCATCGTCAGTCTGTTCTAAGCTTCGTACGGTCTATTGATGGACTGACACAAGCTATTTTCATGCTCCGTTGGACTCAGTTACAGTATTTTCCCCCAAATTCCCAAGATGGGATCCCGATTAAAGAATGGGGTCTCTCGCTTGTTGGGCAATTTTTAGGTGCTGCTCCTAAATTAGCTGCTCTACATCAGATTATCGACACTCTGTGGAGAAAGCCCTTGAAAGGAGCCAATGTGCAGATCAGCTATGCAGGTAACAACCATTACCTTTTTTCGTTTAGTTTAGAGCATGCTCGGGACTGGGTATTGGAGAATGGCCCTTGGCACATCTTCAACAAACCATTAATCCTTAGAAAATAGGTACCGAACATGGAAAAGCTGCAACTTGATTTATCAAGAATTCCTATTTGGGTTCACCTATTTAATGTTCCCCTTGAATTGTTTAACTGCGAAGGCCTTAGCTATATTGCTAGTGCCATAGGTTACCCCATTTCAATGGATTCTATCACCGCCTCTAAATCTAGGTTAGAGTTTGCAAAAATTTGTGTTGAAGTTGGCCCGTCTGAAGCTATTCCTAAGTTTGTTGATGTTGTTCTTAACAACGGTAAAACAGTCTCGATAGTTGTCGAAGTACCGTGGATGCCTCCTTGCTGCAAATACTGCAATGTGTTTGGACACAGTGTTAAAGGATGTAAGCAAAATCCTATTCCTCAAACCTCAACAATGGTTTGGAGGAAAAAAAAATTTGCCACTTCAACCCCACTGGATTCTGAAATTGTTTGCACTGAACATAAACAAAATGCAACGTCTGTTGATCCTAAACCTTCTTTGAACATATCTTCTAAGGATTTTGAAGGTAGTAACCATTCTTCCTTAGAGTCAAATCATTCTGTTAACGACTCTGATGCTTCGCCTGAACCCATTCAACAAGTCTCTACTATGGTTAATGATCAAGAAACTTCTACTGATCTTAATGAAGAAGAGAACTCCATAATTCCATATCAGCTAGGTAATTTTGCTGATACAATTTCTGCTCCTACTCTCCTTAATAAAAGGAATAGAGGAAGGCATGCTAAAGCTCATGATGCATTAACAGGGTCCAGTAACCGTTTTGAGCTACTGAACACGATTAATGAGACTCTCCCTACCTCAGAGAATCAAGGGAAAAAAGTAAGAGCAGCTGCTTCTGGTGTTGCTGTTTTGATCAAAGAACTCAAAATAAAAAAGAAGTCTCATCTTGATAAATCTAAGGGTTCTTCAGTAGGAAGTCAAGGAGGGGAACCGAGCTCCTCATCCCAAGGAAAATGATAATTTCCTTTTGGAATGTAAGAGGATTAAATAATCCTCTTAAACAAGGCCAAGTCCTTCAAAGGGAAGCCAAGAATAATGTGGATATCCTATGCTTGATGGAAACTCGAGTGAAATTAGAGAAATCTTATGAATTATTAACTACTTCTTTTGAGAATTGGAATGTTCTCACCAATTATGATTTTGTAGTGAATGGCAGAATATGGTTTTTATGGAGGAAAGGATTGGATTTCTCCTTATGTAAAGCTACCGATCAAAGTATCACTGTCAAAGGTCTTTTTAATGGCGCTCCCTTCATTATTACCGCAATATATGGTAGTAAAATGGAATCATTAGAAGAAAACTTTGGAAAGAACTTCGGCATCTTGAATCAAATTACAGTGACCTTCCTTGGCTCCTGGGAGGTGACTTTAATGTTATCTTGAATAATTATGAAAGTTCTGATCACGAGCTTATGGGTATGATCACTTCCTCTGACATGTTAGAATTTCAGCATATTACTCAAGATCTACAGTTACAAGAACATCCTTTCTTTGGTCCAACATTCTTGTGGAGTAACAAACAAAGTGACAATTTCCTTGCTCGGAAACTTGACAGAGTTCTCATCAATCCTATATGGTTCGATTATTTTCCTCACTCTTCTATGGAATTCTTAGCGCCTGGTCCTTCTGATCATTGTATGGAAGTGATTGATCTTCACAAAGAGACTCATTCAAATAGACCCAAACCATTTAAAATCTTCAACTGTTGGACTCTGCATCCAGATTTTCTTAACATTGTTAGTCAATCATGGAATATGGCAGTGCAAGGCAACCCAATGAAGTCTTTATTCTTAAAGCTTAAACATCTCAAAGAAAGCCTTAAGCAGTTCAATAAAGACAATTTCAATGACATCTCGGCTCGAACTAGACTAAAAAGAGAAGAACTTGATAGGCAACAAATTCTTACCTTAAGAGGTGATGATTCCTTGGAGAAAGAACTCGAGTTACAAAGGGAGCTCAATTCTTTAGCAGAAGCAGAGACGATGTTCTTAAAACAGAAAGCTAAATTACATTGGCTTAAGGAGGGTGATAAATGCACAAAATTCTTTCACTCAGTCATTGCTACTAAGAACAAGAGGCAGACTATAAGGGTTCTTGTCAATAATCGGGGGGGAAAGACTTGAATCATTTGATGAAATGTCCTTGGAAATAATTAAGTTCTTCAAAAATCTTTTAGGTTCCAAGGATCCAGAAGTAAAAGAATGCTCTCCTACAATTCTTAAAGGTCTTATGCAACCTATTTCATCACTTATTGACACTGAAGCTCTTGTCAAGGAAGTTACTAGTGATGAGATTAAAGAGGTCATTTTCAGCCAAGGAAATGACAAGGCTCCCGGACCGGACGGTTTTACTTCTCTTTTTCAAGAAAGCTTGGCCAGTGGTTGGTAATGATGTTATTAAGGTAATAAAGTACTTCTTTCAAGAATCATTTATTTATCCAGCCTTTAATGCAACCACTATTGTCTTGATTCCAAAGAAGCTGAATCCTAGCACAGTTTCTGACTTCAGACCCATTTCTTGTTGCTTGGTTATTTACAAGACCATTACAAAGATTCTTTTCAATAGAATTACTAACATACTGCCAAGGATTATTGCACCTAATCAATTGGATTTTGTCAAAGAAAGGAGTATAGTAGATAATACCCTTCTTGCGCAGGAAATTGTTAAAGGATATGCGAGGAAGTTCATATCACCAAGATGTGCACTGAAAATTGATCTTCAAAAGGCTTTTGACTCCATCAATTGGGACTTTATTTATGCATTTCTTTAAAGCTCTGGATTTTCCTCCAAAATTCATCGATTGGATTGTTTCATGCTATACGAATGCTAGATATTCCATTTCTCTTAATGGAAGCTTGGTTGGTTTTTTAAGGGCGTAAAAGGAATCAGACAAGGTGATCCGCTTTCCCCTATTTTATTTGTTCTGGTTATGAATGTGCTCTCTAATATTCTCAATAACGCTGCTTCCAGAGAGATTTTTTCCTTCCATTCTAAATTCAAGAAAATTGAACTCACCCACTTGTCATTTGCTGATGACTTTTTGATTTTCTGCAAAGGAAACCTTGAGTCTGTTATGGGAGTGATTATTGTCTTGGACATTTTTTATGAATATTCTGGGTTGAAGCTCAACGCAGGTAAATGTAAGATTTTCACTGCAGGTATTTCGGCTCATAATCTTGAATCTATCATCAACTATACTGGTTTCAAACAAGGAAAGCTACCTGTTAGATACCTCGGGGTACCTCTTGTCACCAGAAAGCTTACCGATAAAGATTGCAAAGCTTTGCTAGACAACATAAAGAGCAGACTTCACCAATGGTCTAGAAAGAATTTGAGCTACGCAGGCAGAGTTGAGCTTATAAAGACAGTTCTCTACAGCGTTGCAAATTATTAGTGTAGACAGTTGGTTTTACCACAGACCATTATCAAAAAGATTGAGCAATTATGTTCCAGATTTTTCTGGAAAGGTTCGGACATTTCTACTGTCGGTGCAAGGGTGAGTTGGGTGAAAATTTGTAAACCAAAATCAGAAGGAGGTTTGGGACTTAAGGATATCAAATCATGGAACAACGCCTGCCTAATTTTTCAGATCAGGAAATTACTTGTAAGGGAAGGTTCTCTTTGGATAGCGTGGCTTCAATCCTACATAATTAAGCAGCATGATTTCTGGACCATGGAAATACCGCAATCTGCCAGCTGGAGCTTTAAGCAATGCTGAAGCTCAGAAATGCTGCTCAAACAATGCGTGTTACAGCAGTAAAAAATACTAAAGAGATTTGGGAAGAAATCTACCCTAGAGATGCTAAAGTCGTATGGCACAAACTTCTCTGGTATCCTCTACATGTCCCGCAGCATAGCATAATTTAATGGATGATTATTTTGGATTGGCTCCCCACTAAGGACAGAATGCAACGATTTGGTCTTATTACAAACGATCTTTGCATGTTCTGCTCGGAAGCAACAGAAACTAGGAACCACCTCTTTGCCGAATGCTCGAAGACTGCTTCCATTTGGAAATCAATTCTGCAACTTTCTGGTCTGAACAGGAATTTCTCGAATTGGACTATTTTGCTACAATGGGCAACCTCTTCATGGAAAGATAAATCACTGCTAACTTGCATTCTGAAGCTTTCATGGAATGCCTTTAATTACACTATTTGGGAAGAACGAAATCGTCGGATATTCAAAAGAACTTCCAGAACTGAAGCAGAAATTATCAAAGCTATTAAGGAGATGGTAGGAACTCTTCTAAGTAATAGAATTTTCAACAGATTAGATAGCATTAACTTAGTTATTTGTAATAATTGGGATATAGTCTAATTTGTTGTAAATAGTTCTCTTTGCTTGTTCCTTAATTGAACTATTTTGTTAGCAGCTTGCTGCTATTTTTGGGTAATAAAATCTTGATTTATCCAAAAAAAAGAAAAAGATGGATGACCAAGATGATCATGCTATAACTAATACACAACAGAAGAACTAGACGCAACATTGACTTGAGCATCGACACGTTTATTGATCAACTCAGCCCTAAACTCATAGAGGCCACCAACTTCGCGACCTTGAAGTAAAACTGCACCACTGACTTCATCTTGAATCACACAATCATAAGCATAAAATTCTAAGTAGACCTCATTGTCTCTAGCAAGCTTAGACACAGAAAGCAGTCATTTAGTGATACGAGGAACATGTAGTAAACAAGTTGACTTTAAAGAATGAGAAGCGATATTTAAATATGATTGTCCAATCCTAGATATATACAAACCTTTACCATTACCCATAAGGACCTTAGCTTGACCAGTATACTCGGTTCTATCTACTACTTCAATAGCATCCGACGTGACATGGTGGGTGGCATCAGAGTCGACGAACCAAGTGTTGGAGGTGCCTTTAGCAACAGGAACACGAGACCCACTATGGCCATAAGAACCAGATACAGATGGGCGAGGCACTTAATAAGCACCGAGTATCTTACAAACGTACACCCATAGCTAGAAGTGCTGAAGTTGTAATGAGACGTATTCACCATTCGTATTCAGTCAACGCTCAAGCCTTGATTTCCCTTAGCTGACACACCTGGGTATGATTGATCAAATTGATACCAGCATCGATCAATAAGATGACCATTTTTTCTACATAATTGGCATTACAACTTGATACACCCTCGTCCATGTCCACCAAAGTATGATTGAGAGGTTTTAGAGTTGGGTTGACTGGATACGAGATAACCACCAAAGTATACAACCTTGACTTGGGTCGTATTAACACTGAGCATCATATTGTTAACACGCTCATAGTTTTTCTACTGAGTTTCAGCATCTGTAAGGATTGACACCACACCATCAAGGATCAACAGATCACGACATCTTGTAATGACCGTGACAAAAGAATGATTATCAGCAGACAGTCCATTTAGGATAGTAATAACATGGTGAAACTTGGAGATAAGACTGCCACAGGTGGCGAGAGCATCACAAAGCTCTTTAACGTGAGGAACATAAGCACGCATACTAAGATCCCTTTTCTAAACAAACTTTAAGTATGAAATGTAGATTCATGATAGCAGTGGTAAATCGATTAGCGAAAAATGCATTGACCGTAAACTAGACCTGAGCAATGGTGTTCACTCCCACAAATTGAGGTAACAAATACGGGCTGATCGTGGAAAACAACCACGATGCTAAGGCATGGTCCTATGATACAAAAATTTCATAAGCTTCATTATCAGCCACAAACCCGTTGGTGAGAGTAACCATCATGGGTGGCGGAGTAACTAAGCCATTACTTTTCCAGACGATGACTCCGGATTACAAGGAGGACTTCTTGTTTCCAAAACAAAAAATTCTTCTCATCCAAATGTATGATCAAACGCTTGTTCGTTAACGCCTTTTGAGTTCCATGCCGACCATTGTAGTATCACTAGAGGAGAGCACCGGAAGAGACATGCTAACGAGAATTATAACACCCTCAAACCGTTACAGATGACCCGATTTGATCCGAGGTATTACATTAGAATCATCGGAACGACCAACTTTGAATATCCAAGAAAATCAAAGCTTTAACAAATAAAATTATAAAATAATTTCAAAATATAAATAAATCCAGACATTTAAAACATAATTCCATGTTGTACAATATAAAAAACTAGTTTTAGATTCTAGTATAAAAACAAACTATGGTTTACATGCCCCTTAAATACACATGTATTGTATTCTGCAAGCAACAATGGTGGAGCTCCCATTTTTGACGTCGAAAACTATATAGATCGAAAGAGTCAACAGAGATAGATCTGAGAGATTAAGTTTAAGAGTTTAGTGTGTTCCATCAATACGGAGAAAAATATGCATATAGTTCCAAATTGAAATAAATTAATTCAGCAAAACACACTTTTAAAGAGATGATAAATTTTAATTTAAAAATCATTTGTCTGTCCTCCATCTGAACACCAGAATGTGTAGGTTCTCCTGAACCATACACCCACATGTATACCTAGTAAGGACCTTATACTTAGCATAAGGACCTGCGGTAAGGACTTACCCTTTGCAAAAAGCAGAAGAGCCTGTGGTAAGGTCTTACAAATCATAGGTTTGAAAAATTCAATTTCTCAATGAAAAAGGGTAGCTTTAATATTTTTCAAATATTTCTCTTTTTCATGAAATATTTTATTAAGGGGGAGTTTTGCCAAAACAATTTTTTTCCCAAATGTTTTGCTATATCAAAAAGGGATATTGTTGAACCATATTTTATAATATTTTGATATAACAAATTAAGGAAAAATGTTTTTGGACTTGATTTAATTTATTCAAAGTTTTTAAAAATAATTCAAAGTTCATTAAACTAAAATTTGAGCACAAAACAGTTTTCTGGGTACGTACTACCAATATTGTTCTTACAGTATCGATACTATATGAACAATACCGATATTGTTCTTACAATATCGATACTATATGAACAATATCGATATTGTTCATGTCGTACCTATACCAAAGGTAAGAGAAGTATCAATACTCACTAGGTATTATCGATGCTACCAGTTGTTTTCAAATTACTCAAATTCCATAATGCAAAATAAGTATCGATACCCAAGGGGGTACCGATACTACTTTACACAATGGTATCGAAACCATCAAGCATAGCATCAATATTGGTCAAGCACAACAGTCTTTAACGGCTAGTTTATTTAAATATTACAAAGGTAGTACCGATACTCATTAAAGGACTACTGATACTCCCTATCCTAGGTAGTTTATTTTGTAGAATAATAATCCCCAATGGCTAGAAATGACCACAAACTCTTTCCAACATATAAAAACAAGTTGAGGACACTTGAAGAAGGTTGAACAACACCTATCCAAGCAAGAAAACATAAGAGAATAGTTTTTCATTCTTATTTTCCTTTCTCTTTTAAATATTAGTATTTTGAGCGTATTGCAAATCTTTTATTTGTTTTTAGTGAGCTTAATTTTTGTAAACACCTTCCTTTAAGAGGTTTTATTGTTTACATATTATTTCTTTTGTGAAGGGGATTTGTTCTAGCTCAGCCTTTGAAAAGCTAGGGAGTTGTAAAGGTTATCTCTTTGTCCTGGAAAAAGAAAGAACAAATTAGTGAATTTGTAAGAAAATTCTTAGTGAGGAGCTAAGGTAATGGATGTAGACTTGGTTGAGAAGTCGAACCACTATAAATCATTGTGTAAATTGTCTCATCTTTATACTCATTACTCCCTATACTCAAAAAGCCAATTCACCCCCTCTTGGCATATTCTTCGGTTGATCAATTTGAGCTGCACCGAATCCCAACAATTGGTATCAGAACTTGAATCATTAGTAGGTCTAACAACATTGAGACGATCCTTGAAGAAGCTCTATCCATTTCTGACACGACAGGGAAGATGGCTTCCACCTCAGGCTCGTTTTACATTGAAGACTCCCAACCGATCGACAAGCCTCCATACTTTAATGGAGCCAACTACCGTTATTAGAAGAAATTAATGAAGTTATTCATCCAATCCAATGATCTTGATGCATGGGAGATGATCGAGAACGTCTACTCTTCTCCAAAGAAGAAGACGAAGGTGTGGAGTGCCCAAGAATGGAAGAAAACTTAACAAAATGCTAAGGCCATGCACATGTTATTTTGTGCATTTGGTCTTTATCTTATTTTCCTTTCTCTTGTAAATATCAGTGTTTTGAGCGTATTGCAAATCTTTTTATTTGTTTTTAGTGAGCTTAATTTTTGTAAATACATTCCTTTAAGAGGTTTTATTGTTTACATATTATTCCTTTTGTGAAGGGGATTGGTTCTAACTTAGCCTTTAAAAAGCTAGGAGTTGTAAAGATTATCTCTTTGTCCTGGAAAAAGAAAGAATAAATTAGTGAATTTGTTAGAAAATTTTTAGT